CACTGACAGATGACTGGATAAAGAAGTTGTGGTAAAATTACACAATGGAATACTACTCAGCCATAAAAATAATACAATAATGCCATTTGCAGCAACATGGATGGACCTAGGAATGCTATGAACTCATCTACAAAACAGAAACAGACTCACAGACATAGTAAACAATCTTAAGGTTACCGGGGAAAGGAGGTGGGAGGGAATAAATTTGGGAGTTTAAGATTTACAAATGTTAGCCACCATATATAAAAACAGATTTCAAAAACTTTCTTCTGTATAGCACTGGGAATGATGTTCAATATCTTGTAATAACCTTTAACAAAAAAATACGAAAACAAATATATGTATATGCATGACTGGGACATAATGCTGTACACCAGAAGTTAACAGATTACAACTGACTGCTTCAATTAAAAAAAAAAATCACCTCAAATGGTCCCCTAGGTACTGATTTCAGCCCAGAATATCTTAGATGCTATCCAGAGAGTTGTCAGTTATGGGTAGAAGGAATCAGGTGTTGACACCAGTCATCTCTTCATATGGAACATTTGAAGATATGCCCCTTAATTCATATAAGTTTTTACTTCAAGAAAAAAGTCTGTGTGGATACAGAGGGACCAGAAGAGAAGCACCAGAAAATAACAAAAAGTACGTAAAAGCTGGTTATTCTCCACAGCTTGCCCATTTAAGCTCTTCTTGATGTTAATAATAATTATTTCCTATGTTGTATGTGTATTAGAGAACTATAATGAACTACTACAAGAGCTGTAAGTTTTTTAAAAGCCCATGTTAACTCTGTAAATTCCCCTCCCTTTTTCTTGCAATTTACTTTTTTAAAAAAGATCAGTCATTTGTCTTGTAGAATTTTCCAATGTGGATTTTGCTAATTGCATCCTGTGGTGGTTTAACACGTTCCTCTGAATCTTACATCTCTTATAAGTGAGTCAGATCTAGAAGTCTGAGGAGTGAAGTTCAATTATGTAACTTCATGGATGGTGTTCTGCACTTCTACAGGATCACCTCAGGATGCAGCTGTCTCCGGTTTTGTAATGTTGAAACTGATCACTGGGTTCAGGTGGTGTCAGCCTGATCCATGCCTTAAATCACTCCCCACCAGCACTCACTTAATAGTTTAAATAGCCACTGAGGATGCCTAGCTTGATTATTTCATTACCTGTTGGAAAAGGTTGATGTCCTATTTCTATCATACTGGCTATATTTTTAAGCTGGAATTATTTTATAATGAAAAAAAAATCTCCCTCACAAACTAGTTACCCTAAGGTGTCATTTGTAAAAGGCAGGACTAAATATTTGACTCTCTCTTGTACTCATTCCCAGCAAGGCTCACAGTTGGCTCTCCATGGCCTGCAGCACTACAACCCCACACTCTGCTCTAGAGACGTGCGTCCTATGGGGCCAACACCCAACTCACAGCACACTCATCTTTAAACTCATAATGTTGAGAATGTTCATCACAAAATGCAATGTCTATCTTATGAGAAATCTAAAGATTGTGCATAGCCAGATGCTAGTCTGTGCTGCACTACCAGAACTATAATAATTTTTAATGCAGCTACAATTACACCAAAAATCAATGGGAAAATGGCTTACACACACACACACACACACACACACACACACACACACCACTAGTGGTCCTGGAGCAAGGGTTTAGAGTGGGTACCTGAGTGG